AAACGCGCTGGACCCTTATGAAGGCCCAGCCCCAAGACCCAAAGCCATGAGCCTGTAAACCCCAAAGCCCTTACATTCCGAGTAGCAAAACACTTTAACCCCAAAGATTTGGGTTTAGGGTTTAGGGTTTAGGGTTTAGGGTTTAGGGTTTAGGGTTTAGGGTTTAGGGTTTAGGGTTTAGGGCCTTCACCCGCAACCCAGACAGAGGAGATCGACAGACGAGAGTACGCGGAGATGTATGTTTTTTGTTGTTTTTTTCTGGCTTACTTGGAGGCCCAGGGGACTTAGTAATTAGGTTATAAGTAGGACAATAATTAGGGTAACTCCATTTAGGGAACGTTTCACTCTACTTAAAACCTACTTGCTAAGTCCCCTGGGCTTCCAAGTAGAAGTAGCTACACCCAGAGAACCCAATACCGCTTAAGTAAGGAATATATCTTAAATCATAATATTAAGGCCCCTATAGTTTCAGGTATATTCCTTAATCAAGGGGTATTGGGTTCTCTGGGCACGTGTAGCTTCCTTACTTTTGACCATGGTACGGCCTGTCCCTGTAAGCTCCCTTATGACACCCTACAAAACCAACCCTAACCCCTAAACCCTAAACCCTCTAAAACCCACTTAAACCCTAAAGCCTAAACCCCACGCCCCCGCCGCCCCATAAGTGACCTGCTGGAACCCGACAAAGCCCGGTAGGGGGTTTTGAGTAACTAATCAGACAAGTCACCCCTTGGGCAGTTCTCTAAACCGTAAGGGTTCTGTATGGGTAGTTGTGTAAATTAGGGTCAGTCTTGGGGTCCTTTGTATAAGGGTGCCGTACCATTCTGACGACCTAAAAAGGGAGGCCCCTCTTCGCCCTAAAACTATAGGGGCCTTAATATTATGATTTAAGATATATTCCTTAATTAAGCGGTTGGGTTCTCTGGGTGTAGCTACTTCCAAAACCCTAAACCCTGCAATTTTTCGGAGAGGATGGCGCCAGGTCCAGCTGGAGGAGATTCGTTCCGAGCGAGGGTTCAGAGGTGCTCATGAGAATCTACGGTTAGAAGTATGGGCCCCTAATATGGACCCCTATGCCTTTCTAGCGACCCTTAAGGGTACATATAGGGCGTATAGTAGGTGTATAAGGATGGCAGCGTTAAGAGCCCCTAGTATCCAGGGGCCCATGGTTTCAACCTTAGGGAGAAGCTTCCTGCCTGTTTGGGGGGTTCAGGGATACAGAGGCGTGCCTCAAACACAACTTGGGTGAGACCCGATGCAACCCGCTAAATTACCAGCGCCCTTAAATGCAATCCCTGTGACGACTCTAGTAAAGCCCTCCAAAACGAAATAGGGAAGAGCAAACCGCTTGTACATCTCTGTGTATACCTATAAACCCTAAACCCGTAACCCCTAAACCCCAACCCCTAAACCCTAAACCTCTAAACCCTAAACCCTAAACCCTAAACCTCTAAACCCTAAACCCCAAACCCAACAGCTCCCCCGAGCCCCAGAAGGATGCAGATCTCCACAGCTGGATGAGCCGCCGCAGCTCGTGCCAGCGCACGTGCCGCGGCCTCGGCGCACGGTCGGAGACCAGGGTTTAGGGTTCAGGGTTTAGGGTTTAGGGTTTAGGGCTTTGGGTTTAGGGTTTAGGGTTTAGGGTTTAGGGGAAAAGCATGCACCCTAAACCCTAAACTGATAAAAAGAAAGAGCCCTAAACCCGAAGCTTAAGGCTCGACTCTGAACCTGACTCCTTAAAGACCCTAGAACCCCCTAGACCCGACATCCCCCTACATGCTGCCCAACTCTGGTTACCCGGCTTACGTAATCTTTTGGTGAAGGGCTTGGGATGTATGCGCTGCAGGTCTGCAGGAAAAGGTATCTATACCTCAAGCCACGAAGAGTTTAGGGTTTAGGGTTTATAGGGTTTAGGGTTTAGGGTTTAGGGTTTAGGGTTTAGGGTTTAGGGGTAGCGCATAGCATCCAGTGTCCTTGCTATAGCATTCGTTGGCTCGGGGCTGTCATAGC